CGGTTTCTCACAGGAAATTCAATTTTCAGTCCATTTCACCCACTAATTAGGACTTCACTGACATTGTTAACATTAAGTTAACCAGGAGAAAGCAATTCAGATACTCTGAGGTAGGAGGGAAAAACACCTCTCAGCCTCCTGGAGTCAAGTAAAACTACACGGTGTTTGTTGCAGAAACCACAGGTCTTACGCTGAGTTTCAAACACACTGCACATCATGACTTTTTCTATGACCACAATCCATCAGTGTGCGTGGAACGGAACCAAAGCAGAACGGATGGATGGTGTCCACCAGGGGACAGGCCCTGAAACATTAGCCTGGGCTTGGGGGCCCAAAGGGCGCATCCGGGATGTGCTGTGGGGCTCAGAAACCCCCTGCCAGAACCAAACGGCTTAGTAACAGCACCCCATCCCACCGCCTCCTGGGAAATGTCCTCTGAGTCTGGACATCTGAGTTGGGACCTCAGCTGTGCCCCTGACCATCCACACCGTGGCCCACCTGAAGGAGTCGCGGTAGCTCATGGTGTCATGACCCGAGTCCTCCCGATCCACATCAGACAGCTTGCCGCACACTTTCTTCATGCCCCCGTGGTCGGTTCTGTCCATCTCATTTTCTTCACTGACGAGCGGGGGCGACGAGGCCTCCTCGGCCTAGCGGGGATCGCAGGACCCACCTGAGGTGGGCTCCGTGAAGGTGGACGGAAGCCTGTGGGGGGAAAGACTTTGAACTTAAAGGCACAAGTGTGTGGCTTCACTCACCCCTAGGAGGCCCCGGGCAAGGCCCTGACCTCAGGCCACACCTCTGACCCTAAGCAGACCCAAAGGCTCTCTGTCCCTACCCTGAAAATCCTGCCAGCAACTCTGCAGATGTGCATACACTGGCCCTCCTGCAGGGGTCATCAGATGCAAGGGTCTTAGCTCATGGCCAACCGACACCAGGCTCAGGAGGATAGAAGGCGCCTGGGGAGCGTGGTCTCTCAGGGCTGCACACGGTCCCGGATGCCAACGACTCAGCTCTGCCGCTGTGATATGACAGCACCAGACACTTCGTAAAGGACTGGGCATAGCTATTTCCCAGAAAATCTTTAATAAAAAAAAAAAAAGCCATGGGCTGGATTTGGCCCACAGGCCTTAGTGTCAACCCTGGCATAGAGAGTAACAGTGGGAAGCATGGGTTTTGAACACAGACAGACGCCAGATTCAAATCCCGATGCTACCGTTTCCTAGTTTAGAGACCTATGGCTAATCATTAAACCACTCTTTAGACTCCATTTCCTTATCCATACAGTTCTCGAAACATCACTATGTCCTAAGCTGCTGTACAGATTAAGGGACTTAAAATGTGTCAAGTGCCCAGAAGAGTGTCTGGCGCCTCGTAAGTGATCAGTAAACCCTAGCTGGCACAATCCAACTACATATCAGTAAGGTCAGTATTATGACTAGCCCCACTTTAGCAGATGAGAACACTGAAGATCAGAGAGGCTGAGTGACTTGTCCAAGGTCACACAGCTAATAAGCGGCAGGGCCAGCATACTGGCTCTAGACCTCTCATTATCTTTTCTTTTATCGTGAACAATTTCTATCATATACAGAGGAAGAGGGGACAGCATGGCAAACCTCAGGTACCCGCTGCCAGTTTCCACAATGGCAACTCAGAATCCACATTTCTTCCCTCAATCTTTCTGCAGCTTTTTCTCTTTCCACAGTATTTTAAAAAACCTGAGATACCATATAATTCCCCTGAGAAACACTTTCATATGTGTCTCTAGCAAAAAAAGACATTTTTTTTAAAGCAGTGATTCTCAACCCGTCCCCTCCCCCCTGCCCCTGCCAGGAAACATTAAGCAGTTTAGCGAGTTTCCTGAGGGGCAAACAGCACCGTCCAGAGACATTTTTAGCTGTCACAGCCGAAGCAGGGTTGGGGGTGTGGGGAGAAACTACTGGCATCCAAGCAGCAGAGACTGGAGTGCCACTAAATACCCCACAGCAAAGAAGTGTCCAGCCCAAAATGTCGAAAGTGTCGAGGCTGAGGAACACTGTTGTGAACATAACCAGCCTGCAAGCATCAAACCTCACAAAATTAATCATCCCATAAGACTCTCAGGTCCCCGGTCCACGTTCAAATGTCCCTGATGGTCACAAAGATGCCTTCCCACAGACAGTATCTTAGAAACCGAATGCAAACCAGGTCTCCTCGCTGCGTTTGATTGATAAGCCTCTCAAGTCCCTTCTCTACCAGTTCCTCCTCCTCCCTGAACCTGCTTCTCCCTTGTCATTTATTTGTTAAAGAAACTGGGTCATTTGTCATCCAGGACTGCCCACCCTCTGGATTTGGCCCATGGTGTCCCTGAGGTGCCGCTTCACTTTCCCTACACCCCACATCCTCCAGCCCAGTACTGAGACCTAAACTTTGATCAGAGAACGGTGCAACTTCTGTTGCTAAAAATACTTTGTAGGGGGTGCTGTATGTGTGTCCGGGACAAGGTACCAAAAGGCACATCACATCCAGCCATCTCTTTCCCAATGTTTAAATGATAAAATTCCCTCAAAACCTTTCACCAAACAGTTCTACCCTCTGCTGAGGATGCTGCCTACATCCATCCTTACATCAGAGCAGCAGTTCTCAACTGTGAGTGATTTTGCCCACTGAGAGGGCATGTGACAACGCTTTGAGACATTTTTCATTGTCACAACCTGGGGAGGGTGTGCTGCTGGCATCTACTGGGTAGAGACCAGGGATGCCACTAACAGCCTATCGTGTGCAGGATACACTCCAAACAGTGACCCTACCCAAAACACTGACATTACCGAGGTTGAGAAATCCTGACTCTGAGACGCCCTGCCATTCCCTCCTGGCCCAGGGCTCACCTGTCGATCTGAGGGACATATTGCTTCATCTCCGTCACAGACACATCCAGTTTGGTGAAGAGCTGCAGGTAGGCGTCCTGGATCTCATGGTCCTCCTGCTTCAGCAGGAAGCTCAGGCCCCGGTTCTCCTGGCTGAGGACTCCACTGGCTGGCTCAAAGCTGCTGTCATTGGGACCTTGGCTTTGGGAGTCCCCATCCACAGCAGGTAGGCACTTCCAGGAGGGGGCAGGCATGGTGGTGATGCAGTGCTGGGTGTAGGACATGGGGTTCAGGTGACCTGCAGTGGAGGGAAAGAGAGCTCACTTACAAACAGCCCCCAGATACTCACAAGCCCCTTCGACAGACCTATACAAACCCATTTTAAGGATTGCAATGAATGAGGAAAGTTTCCCTTTTAAATACTCTTTCAGTACATTAAATTGCTTCAATTTAAAAAAAGTTTCCATTTGGCGCTAATATGCTTTTAACTCCTGTGATCTTTTTCCGGCCTAGAATGTAGAAATGATGGCTGGTACTCCAGCAGCCATTCTATACCATGAGGCATCCTTCAGGATAAAAGCAACCTCTAGAGATGGTGGCATAGAAAGGAGGCTTCATCCCTGATGACTGTGGGGCCACCATTCCAGTCTTGGGCTGCTAGCCTTCATACGTGCTTCTGTTTAAGTATCTGTAGTGTGAGATCTGACCACAATTTTTGAGACACAGTTACCTTGCTCTGGGTCAAGGTCGACAATCCAGGGTTTGTGATCAAAGCGGATGCTGAAGGACCTACCAACCAAGGGCATGGTCTTGGGGTAGGACACTTCCAGGAGGCTGATGTGGCAATTTGTGGGTAAAAAAGACCAGGCCACGCAGTGGATTAACAGCTACTGAGAAAGCTGGGGGACATGAGGTCATGATGCAGGGCTCTGGGAATCCTGGCCCACCCCGAGTACCCACTTTACTCTGGTCTAGGTCAGACATTCCAGAATTGGACAAAATGCCAATACTTTCAAATGGAAGAGTGAATTCCCCCGCACTGCCTTTCCCTGTACCCAGATTTCAGGGAAGACCTGGAGAAATCTGAGGCCTCTGGCTACCTCTCCACATTCATTTCCCCACTTTTGCTGCATCTGGGCTGTCTCTGAGGAACCACCTCTCTCTGACCCACAGTGCATGGGGTTCAGGTAAGACTGCCCCCCTTCCCTGCAGAGACACATACAGGGCTGGGCAAGGGGCCCAAGCCAAGCCAACAAGAGCTGTCATCAAGTCCCCTTTCTACTGGGGTTGCTAACACTGGAGCTCCCGGGGGTCATTCTGTCACTACATGAAAAGAGCCTGCCTGAGAGCAAAGCCAACACAGAAGAACACAGTCAAGAGAAGGAGGGAGACCCTATTCTTGTCCTAGTCTGGTATCTGTTTGAGTGCCTGGATACTGCCATGCCTGAAGTTTACCGCAGGACTTTTCAGTAATACAAACCAGTAACTTCTCCTGTCTGTTGAAGCTCACTGGGTTGGGTGCTGACACTTACAACCACAGTAACCCCCGCGGAGACCCTGCAGGATGCGGACACCTCCTGGCAGCAGGCGGTCCTCTGGCCAGGGCTCTCCAGTTCGGTGTCGCAGGTGGCGGAACTCGTAGTGGAACGTGGTCTTCACGACGCTGCTCAGGGCTGTCAGCCATCCAGAGTCCTGCACGAAGATTCTGTCGTCGGCAGCACAGGCCTCAGGGATCTACAGAGAGATTTAACAGCTACTGAGCACTCACTGTGCCCCAGAGCGGGTGTTCAGGGGCTGCTGTGCGGTGACTACTGTGCGCCTCGTAGTACCCCGTAAGGTCAGATGTCTTACTGGCCCACTTAGCAAATGAGCAAACTGAGCCTGAGAGATAGGAAGTCACTCTCCTAAGTCCCACAGCTACCAAGGGGTGGGGCAGGGACTAGAAGGGCTCCAGCCTAACTCTGAGGATGTGGGGATAAGGTTGCTCCACCCCCCTGGGCAGGACACCACCCAGCAAGACCTTGGCAGTGAGGCCGAAGATCCACACGGCTCCACAACCTCCTCCAGCAGGAGGCACTGGACGCCTGCTGTGCTCACGCACTCACGCACCACGCTCTGCTCCAGGTGCACGCTGTCCTCGGTCAGGCTCACCGCAGGGCTGTCCCCACGTGGGCTCAGCTGGGGACCCAGGGACAGCAGGGGGAACACTGGAAGCCAAAGGGACGGGCAAACCTGAGGATGGGGCACCACCCCACACCAGGCCAGCCCTCCGACCCAGCACCGAGGACGGCTCATGTTGGGCAGATGGGGAGACCGAAGCCTCTGCTGCAGCTCTGTTCACTTTTGCCAGCCCACTATCGCTCACTCTTTATTCTAGAAGATTTCCCTTCTAAGAATCAACCCTTGAGCCCCATTCCCAGTCTATGTGGCTCACAAAAGCGGACCTCCAACCACACCTTCCCCTACAGGCAAAGGCCTGGCCAAGGAGGATATTAGATTTGCCCTATTCAGTTCGCCTGTTGGTTCAGGAATCAGCATGTGACCCAAGCTGGACCAATGAGAATCTGTTCTGGGGCTTTGGCTGGATCTACAAAGAGGAGACATTCTCTTTCTCAACTACATTCCAAGTTACCAGAGCCACCAGGTGCAGAAAACAGCATGTGAGGAGAAAAGCGACACAGCGGGAGCAGAGCAGGGAACTGGAGAAAAACAAAGAGCTTCCTCACTATATGAGGTGCTGGATTGAGCCAGACCTGAAGCTTGTTGACCCTCTCATACTTTTCAGTTTGCTGGACCAATCTTTCTATGTAGCTGAGATTAAGTCCCAATTAACATAAACCCAGAGAGGCTGTGGCTCCTCAGAGGCCACATAGCTAGGTAGTGACATATCTAGGAAGCAAGCAGGCACTTTCTTGGAGTGAAATGCTTTCCCCCAACCTGCTCCAAAGAGAACCTCTCAATCCACACACTATCACTCTTCCTTCCCTCACCCTCACACTATGTCACCACTTGTCAAGTTTTTCTTCTTTTGTTCATTGTCTGCTTCCTCCCATGTCAGTGCCCTGATGGCAGGGTCCATGTCCCCCTTGCTCACGGGTGTCCCCCACCTAACCCTGATCATAGACCTCAGCTTGAACCTAGCCCTAAACTTGAAATTAGCCCTAAACTTGAAATCAGCCCTAACTTAACACCTAGCCCTAAATCTACGTGTAGACCTAACCCTGAAACTAGACTTAAACCTCAATCTAGACCTAAACCTGAACCTAGCTCTAACCCTCAACTTAGCCCTAAACCTAAAACTAGCCCTAATCCTGAACATAGCCCGCACCTTGAACCTTCCTTTAATACTGCAGCTAGCCTTAAGCCTGAACGTAGCACAAAACCTGAGCCTAGCCATAACCCTGCTGCTAGCCCTACCTCCGAATCTATCCGTAATTTTGATATAGCCGTAAAGCTGCACCTAGACTTAAACTTTCCCCTAGCCCTAAACCTGAACCAAGACCTCAGCCGTCACATAACCCTAACCCTCAACCCAGCCCTCACCCTGAACCTAGCCCTAGCCCTGTGTGTAACACTAACAATGAACCCAGCCGGAAACCTGACGCTAGCCCTAAACCTGAACATAGCACTAACCCTGCATATAGCCGAAACCATGAACCTAGTCCAACCCTGCCCCTAGCCGTAACCCTGCATCTAGCTGCATCCGTGCTTTAGGATTTTCTATCTATAGTATCATGGCCCAGGCCTCACCTACACAACCCTCTCTGTGCTCCTCTCCAACGCAGCCCAGGCCTCAACCACCGGCGCCCCCTTACCTACCAGGCGACAGCAGCAGAGGCGAAGACACGCGGCGGCCCAGACCCCAGGCCGTGTTCCTCATCGGGGAGCTGGTCCAGGAGCACCCGGCCCTGGCCCAGCTCCCACACGCTCTGGGCCGGCTCCTGAGACTTCGCAAATGCACGTCCGCGTGCGAGCCCCTCCCGCTCCCGCTGGTAGCGGGGATGCTCTGGCTGGGGTTCCCACACTAAGGGACACGGCCAGTGGGGCTGACAAGTTGAGCACGGCCATGCGAGGCCAGGCTGTGGGGCAGTGGGGCTGGTCCACTTCGTGGCCCAGGACTGGCCGGCCGAGTCCCCACCCCTATGCTCCCCCAACCAGACACCGACAGGGTCCCCCGGCACCCAGTTACAACCACCACTGGCCCTGGGCCAGGCCACACCCCACAGTTCCATTCCCCCTGCTGGACGCCACACAACGCCTCGACCCCCGTCACTGCCCGCGCATCTCCCAACCAGGCCTCATCCCTGACCCGATCCCCAAAACAAGGCAGAATCCTTCTCCTCATATTGAGGTCCCCACCCCCACACTCTGCCCCACTAGGACCTAACTTACAGCCCCTGCAAACAAGCTGACCCCTCATGCTTCACCCCGGGTCCGCCCACCATCCTGGGATGGTCCCCTCACCCCTAACCCCAGGATTACCACCCCTCCCCTCAATGGGGTCCCCTTACTCTGAGCGTCCCTCACCCCAAGACGGCCCCTGCACACTTCAGCCAGGTGACTTCCACTCTGGTTGGCCCCTCACTCCTCAACCTGGCCACCCTCACCACGGGATCCCCCCTCCCTCTGAGTGCACCCATGACCCGAGCTGACCCGCTCACTCCTCACCCCACCGGGGCTGGGGCGGTCTGCGCTCAGGTTCCCGTCGTGACAGCCACCAGACAGGATCCCGAGCAGCGCACGGACACACAGTCCACTGCCCAAGGCTCCTCTTGGGCACGGTAGGCGGGGCTGGAGACTGTGCCAATTCCCACCAGGGCGCCCTGCACCCCCACCACCTCTGTGCCCAGGGCCTGATCTGAGCAAGGGGGTCAGGCTGGTCCCGGGCCGCAGGATGCTCACCACCGGGCTTTGGGCAGCTGATGGCACGCATGGCGGTCTAGACACCTAGGGCGGGAGGCCCTGGGCACGGGGACCTGCCGGGACGACCGTGTGGCCCGCGGGAGGACAGCGGGCAGTGGCAGCGGTGGCGGGGGAGGGGGCTACCCTGGGAGAGCCAGTCGACTTGCTCCAATCTACCCAGCTGCCTGGCCTGAGGCGGCCTCATTTACCCCAGCTTGGCAGAAGGCACTTCTCCCTGAGAGCCTGCTCCTTGGAGGCGGCCAGGGTGCGGTCAGGGCGTGGCAGCGGTGGCCACTGCAGGATCGGGGCTGCCCCGTGCAACCACAGGGATTTGCACCCATTTCCCGCTGTGGCTGTCGCACCCCTCCCCACTCGACGCCACACACTGACTGCACCATGCCCGCCTCCCAGGAGCAGGATGGCCGGTAACCTGCGTCCCATGAGCCTGTGGCAGCAGAGGCTGCCCCGAGTCCAGGCCGTGTGGGAGAAGGCAGGAAATGACCGGCTCCCCTGGCCACCACCACCACGCTGCCATCTTCCTAGCCACCTGACCTCACTGAGCCCGTGGTCTTACTGAACTGGGTATACAGGGAACATATCTCAACACGATACAAAGCTATTCATCACAAACCTACAGCCATCATAATACTCTACCAAGAAAAGCTGAAAGCCGGTCCACAGAAATCTGGACAAGACAAAGATGCTCACTCTCACCCCTTTTATTCAATATAGTATTGGAAGTCCTAGCCACATCAAATTAGACAGCAAAAAGAAAGAAAAGGGGTCCAAACTGAAAGACAAGAAATAAAATCCTCATTGTATGCACATGACATGATACTATATACACAAAATCCAAAAGGTTCCACATAAAAATGACTATGGCTAATTGAAGTAGTTGGCAAGGTAGGAGAATACAAAATCGACATGCAAAAATCAGTGGCACTTCTTCACAAGAATGTAATCCTCCCTTTTAAAATTGCATCCAAAACATAAAATACTGAGGAATAAGTCTAACCAAGGACGTGAAATGCTTACATGCACAGACCCATAAAACACTTGAGGGAAGTAAAGAGGACTTGAGAAAACGAAAGATAGCCCACTTCCTTCTATTGGAAGAATCGATATTCTTAAAATGGCCGTACCTGCCCAGAGGAATTGACAGACTGCATGCAGATCCCTACCAAATCACACAGGCCATTTTTCACAGAACTAGAAAAAATCCTATTAAACTTTACATGGACTCACAAAAGACCCAGGATAACCGAAGCTTTACTCAAGAAAAACAACAAAGCTGGAGGAATAAGCCTCCCAGAATTCAGACACTACTACAGACCTATGATCAAAACAGCATGGGATTCCTACGAAAACGGACATATGGATCAGTGGGACAGAAATGAGAGCCCAGAAATAAACCCGCAAACTTTTGGTCAATCAATCTTTGACAAAGGAGGGAAGAACCTACCATGGAGGCAATGCAGTCTCTTCAGCAAAGGCTGTAGGGAAAACTGGACAGCTGCGTGGAAATCAATGAAGCTAGATGACTGCCTAACACCGTACACAGAAATAAACTCAGAATGCCTTAAAGACTTGAACGGAAGACCGGAATCTATAAACCTCTTCAAACAACACACAGGCAACACATTACCTCACATACATCTCAGCAATGATCTCCTAGGGCACTCTACCCCAGCACCAGAAGGAAAAGCACAAGCAAACACACACACACGGGACCTAGCTGAGCTCACAGGCTTCAGCACAGCAAAGGGAACCATAAGCAAATCAAAAGCACAACCTACTGAATGGGCGAAAATACCTGCAAACGATTCGACTGACAAAGGCTTCATTTCCAGACTACGTAATCAGGGCATACAACTTAGTAACTGAACAACACACACCCCAATCCAAACACGGGCAGAAGACCTGTACACGCATTTCTCCAATGAAGGCACAGAAACGGCCAACAGGCACATGAACAAAATGCTCACTATCTCTCCTTATCAGAGAAACGCAAGTCAACACTACAACGAGGCATTACCTCACACACGCAGTCAGAAAGCCCATCATTCAACAGAAGTCCACAAAGGAGAAACACTGGTAGGCTGTGGACAGAAGGGGACCCTCCTACACTGCTGGTGGCACTGTAGTTTGGCGTAGCCACTGTGAAAGACAGTTTTGAGATTTTTCCAAAGACTAACTAAAACCACAGTTGCCAAAACATTTCGATCTCGGGGGCAGGCCTGCAAGTTCCCAAAAGCCCCGGGCCTCGCCCGTTATTCCAACCTGGAGGGCCCAGGGCGGCCTGCCGCCACCAGGCAGGTCCACCTAAGCAGGAAGGCCATGGCCTGAGGGCCGGTCGGAGGTGCTCCAAGGTCACTCCGGCGCCCTCCCACCTCCCGGGGCTGCTCCCGCTTTCCTAAAGCCACGTGTGAGTGGCGATGAAGACACCAGGGTTCAGTGACTATTGATGGCGGGGGCGATGCACCACAAACCAGGGCGGCGGCCCTGGACCCGCCTCAGGGGCCTAACGGGCCATGAGGCCCGGGCCTCACCTACACAGCCCATCCCTGTGCGCCTCCTCAGCGTAGGCCAGGCCTCAACCACTGGCTCCCCGACCTGCGCGCCCCCACCGGCACCCCCTTACCTGCCAGGCGACAGCAGCGGAGGCGAAGGCACACAGTGGCCCGGACCCCAGGCCGTGCTCATCCTCGGGCAGCCAGCCCAGGAGCACCCGGCCCTGGCCCAGCTCCCTCATGTCCTGGGCCGGCTCCCGCGCAGCCGTGCATGCGCGTCCACGTCAGCGCCCTTCCCCCTCCAGCCAGTAGCTGGGACGCTCGGGCTGGGGCTCCCGCACTAAGGGACACGGCCAGTGGGGCCGACAGGGGCCGGGTCCGATAGGGGCCGAGCCCGGCCACGCGAGGCCAGGCCGAGGGGCGGTGGGGCTGGTCCACCCCGTGGCCCAGACTGGCCAGCCCCGTGGCCCAGGACTGGGTAGCCGAGTTTCAACCCCCAATGCCACCCCACCCATACACTGACAGGTTCATAACGCACCTAGGCCTAACACTGAACCTTGCCATAAACCTCAATATACCCCTAATTTCCAACCTAGCCCTACAACTAAATATAGCCCTTACCCTGTACCTAGAACAAACACTGAACCTAGCCTTAAGGCTGAACCTAGCCCTACTGGAGAACACACACCTAACACTGCATGTAGCCCTAATCCCTAAACTAGCTGTAACCCTGTAACTAGCCCTATCCTAAACCTAGCCCTAACCTTGAACCTAGCCCTGACAGTGAACCTAGCCCAACTGTGAAAACAGCCCTAACCCTGAACATAGCCTGAACCCTGAACCTAACCCTAATCCTAACCCTCAACCAAGCCCTCACCCAGCACCTAGCCCTAACCCTGTGCGAAACACTAACAATGAACCCAGCCGTAAACCTGAAACTTGCCTTAACGCTGAACACAGCACTAAGCCTGCATATAGCCTGAACCATGAACCTAGTCCAACTCTACCCCTAGCCCTAAAGCTGCAACTAGCAGTATCCCTGCTTTAGGGTTTCCTATATATACTATCACGGCCCGGGCCTCACCTACACAACCCTCCCTGAGCGCCTCCCCAGCGCAGCCCAGGCCTCAACCACCGGCTCCCCAACCTCCGCGCCCCCACCGGCGCCCCCTTACCTGCCAGGCGACAGCAGCGGAGACGAAGTCACGCAGCGGCCCGGACTCCAGGCCGTGTTCCTCCACGGGGAGCAGGCCCAGGAACACTCGGCTCCAGGCCTGATACTCATGCCCTGCGCCGGTTCCTGCGTCAGGCCACAAGTGTGCATCCGTGGGCGCGGTGCCCTCAGCTCCTCCTGCAGGTAGTGTAGACGCTGGGGCTGGGGCTCCTGCGGTGCGGGACGCTATTAGTGGGGCCGAACCAGGCCATGCGGGGCTCGGCGGTGGGCCAGTGGGGTGGTGGGGCTGGCCCCCCTCATGGCCCGGGACTGGCTGTGTCCCTGACCCCAACAGGGTCCCGGCACCCGATTAGAACCACTACCCACCAAGGGCCAGGCCACAAACCCCACAGTCCTACTCCCCACACTCACCCCCACACAAATCCCCCAGCCCTGTCATGTCCCCCACACTCCCTGACCAGGCCTGATCCCCGACCAGACCCCCAAGACAAGTCTCCTTTTATACTCCAGTCTCTGCCCCACTAGCTTCTAACCTATAGCCACCGCAAACAGGCTGCCTCTCATGCATCACCCCGGGGCCCCCGCCATCCTGTGATCATCCCCTCGCCCTTCACCCTGGGATTGTCCACCACCCCTCAGCTGGGTACCCCTATTCCAAGTACCCCTTACCCCGGGCCGGCCCCTTCACGCCTCAGCCAGGTCACTTACAGTCGATAATGCCCCTACTCTTCAACCTGTCCCCTCTCACCGCAGGATCCCCCCTCGCTCTGAGCGCACCCCTACCCAAGCTGACCCCCTCACCCCTCACCCCACCAGGGGTGGGGCCATCTGCGCTCAGCTCACCATAGTAAAAAGCCACCAGACAGCGGACACACAGCCCAGCGTCCAAGGCTCCTCCGCGGCGTGATGGCCAGGGCTTGAGGCCATTCCAATTCCCGTCTGGGTGCAGGCCTGCACCCCAGCCCCATGCCCAGGGCCTCCTCTGAGCCAGGGGGTCAGGGTGGTCCCAGGCTGCAGGCTGCTCGCCAGTGGGCCTTGGGTGGGTGATGGCACGCATGGTGATCTGGACCATACTCTCCTCCTGGAAGCAAGCTGACTTGCACACTAGCGTCTGGAGAATCTAGGGCAGCAAAGGCTACCCCTACGCCAGGTGGCAGGGGAGATGGGAGCAAATGGAATAGCTTGCTTTGGGCACCGCCCTCCCACCAACGCTGCCTGGATTGCCACTATCCTCTGAACACACGCTGCCTATATCCTGGGAGCAAGCTGACCTGGAGACGGGCGTCAGGAGGACCTGGGAAAACAAATGCAACCCCCAGGCCAGGCCCTGGGTGAGTTAGGAGCAAGGGGACCAGCTCGACCCAGGCATCTCCCTTCACCCTGCCACTGCTGCCACCACCAGTGCTATCCCCTGAACGCATGAAGTCCGCGTTCCGGGAGTAGGCTGACTGAGACATCTGTGTCCTGAGATTTGGGCAGCAGAGACTGCCCCCAGGCCAGGCCGCTGGGGAGATGGGACCAAATAGACCAGGTTGCCCCGGGCAACCTCTCCTGCCAATGCCGCCTGCGCGCCCCTACCCTCTGAGCCCTACCCTCTGAACACACGGTGCCCGCCTCCAGGGAGCAAGCTGACCTGGAGACAGGCGTCAGGAGGAACTGGGAAAAAAACACAGCCCCCAGGCCAGGACCCAGGTGAGATGGAAGCAAGTGGACCACCTAGCCCCGGACATCTTCCTTCCCCAGCCACCGCCAGTGCTATCCCCTGAACACCTGGAGTCCGCATTCCGGGAGTAGGCTGACTGAGACATCTGTGTCCTGAAATTGGGGCAGCAGAGGCTGCCCGCAGGCCAGGCCGCGGGGGAAATGGGAGCAAATCAACAGGCTTCCACGTGCATGCACCACCACCCCACCACTCCACGGCCTGAGAGCCCCTGGCCACCTTGCGAACGCCTACTGACCAGGATACGTGCGTCCCGAGAACCTGCGGCAGTAGAGGCCGTCCGTAGGCAAGGCGCGGGGTAGATGGGGCAGCCAGGAGCAAGTCGATGGTGTCCCACAGAGCAGCTGCCCTCCATGCATCGCTGTGGTAAACATTTCTTGAACCCAACTCACCCGCCTACCCAAGCCTACTGCCCTAGAGAGATGCATGGCCAACTTGGGGCAGCAGAGGGCACCCCTAGGCCAGGCCGGGAGGGAGATGGGAACCAATCCACGAGGCCACCTCACACCAGCTGCCACTGCCGCCTCCCCTTCATCGCACCATGCCTCCTTCCCAAGTGTCGGCTATGAACCCGAGCATCAGGGGAAACTGAGGCAAAAGAGGCCACCCCCAGAAAAGGCCGCGGGGAAGATGGGAACAAATGGAGGCTCGTCAGGACATCCCCCCCTCACACAGCCGGCATCCCCCCCTCACACAGCCGCCACCGCCGTCGGTCCCGCAGCCAAGGCCCATGACCAAACCGCGCCTGACTCTAGGGAGCAGGCTGCGCTCAAGAATCTGTGGCAGCAGAGGTCACCCCCAGGCCAGGCGCAGTGGAGACTGGGGACACAGAAGAGACCAAATAGACAGACTCCCACAGGGCAGCACCCCTCCACCCCACCTCCATCGCTGCCCCCCTAACCACACCGCGCAGCTTCCTGCGAGCCCACTGACTGACCTGGAGAGGTGCATCCAGGGAACCTGGGGCAGCAAAGGGCGCCCCAGGCTAGGCCATGGCAGCGATGGGAGCAAATCGACGGGCTCCCACATTGCAGGACCCCTCCCCTTCCAGCTGCTGCCTCTGCCGTCACCACTTGAGCACACAGGGCCGCCTTGGGAACAGACTGAACCAGAGACGCGGGTCCCACGAACCTGGGGCAGCAGAGGCCACCCCCAGGACAGGCAAGGTATATAGATAGGGCAGCTGAGAGCAAATCGACGGGGTCACACCCGGCAGCCACCCTTCCCGCCTTACCACAGCAAGCGATCCCTGACCTCAACTCGCCCGCCTCCCAGGAGCCTACTGCCCTAGAGAGACGCGTAGACAACTTGGGGCAGCAGAGGGCGTCCCCAGGCCAGGCCACGGGGGAGATGAGAGCACATCAGTGGGTTCCCATATGGCAGCCCCCATATCCCCGCCGCGGCCACCTGATGGCACTAGACCACCTCTCTGCAGCGGGCTAACAGGCATACATGATTCCAGGGAACCTGAGCCAGCAGAGGTCTCCCCCGCGCCAGGCTGAGGAGGGGGAAGATGGGAGCAAATGTACCGGCTCCCAAAGGGCAGCACCTACCTACCCCCCTGAGCCACTGCCGCTGTAACCACCAGGGTCACCTGACCCCACCAGGCCACCTCCCAGGATCAGGCTGAGGGGAACGTGCTTCTCCAACCTGGGGCAGCAGAGGCCAGGTCCCATTGGAGATGGTAGCAAATCCAGGGTCTCCCACGTGGCATCCCCCCTGCTGTTGCTGCTGGAATTCATTGTTCTTAGTCTCGCTTAAGCGCAGATGAACTGTATGTAGAACAAGTTTTTTAGAAGATAAACCTTGTTCTTGGGTTGTGAATTCCAATCAGCAAAATGGTAAGGTGTTTATTTTTGCCCAAACATGCGGATCTGCCTGTAAATTTTTTTTTAAATCATACCATTTGATTATGCTTAGAAAACCCTTCAGATTTGGTTTTAGGACGATGATGTTATAGTCTTAACTATTTTCTCAATTCCAATTAAATCACCTAAGTTGTTAAAATTTCTACATGTGTCGTAAGTAGAGTTACCATAAAGCTGTTAGTTTTTAAACTACTGAGAGATATATATACATATATCTCCATATATATGTATAACTTGTCCCAATAAGACATATAAATACTGTCTTCTCAAATCTAGTGGTAAAAAAATCTTTCCCACATAATCATACAGCAACTCTGGTATCTTACATTGCTTCTCAAATAATGTGAAGAACAAATAAATACTTTAAATGTTGATAACAACCTGTTCTGAGCCAAGAGGAGAGATCTAATACAGAGGAAGAGTGCATCCAAAACATATTCCATAAACTACGTTGTTAAAACAGCCTAAAGTCAGTATAAAAAGAGAAGCAGAAAGGGACATGTGAAAGCTGTAAACTGCTTAATGCAGCAGAGAAACCCTGTTCACACTACTCATTGCTTTCCCTTTTTTTCTTATTTAATTTCTAATATTTTCCTCCCAACGATGTAGGTTAAGCCAGGATTTTCACTTCACTCCATTCTTTGGCAAGTAATTGCGCTTTGCCCTGGGTTTCCATTCCCAGTTTACTAGAGAAAGCCAAAGCAAAAGCAGAAAAAAATAAAAGCAAAATGGAAACAAAGTAAAATCATTCACAGAAAACAAGTCAGTGCCTAGGTGATATTTGCAGGAGACTTATGCATGAGAACAATACCTCTAGCACATTCCTCATCCTAGAAACACAGCAAGAAAAGTAATAAGACCGTCGGATCGATCTTAATGTCACTGACTTTTAATGAAATAAAGTTTTCAAGATCTGTCTGGACCCAAGCTTGGCGTGGACAGAATGAGTGCTCCTTTACCAGTTTACTTTGAAAGGAACAAAGAAGAGTGTTAATAACACTAAGGGCTTTTACTGCAGTGCCCCTCTCTGCGTTCATAAAGCCATTTAACAATCCTGAGGTGAAAATCTCCATGGGTTCCACACCTCACTCCATCCTTTACTCACAGGGACACTGTGGGTTGTCCTAATGATAGGAGTGTAAAAGAAAAGGACAAATCTGACTTCATATACTAAATCTGTTCCTTTGACTTTAACCCTGTGCTGTTTCCTAGGTTTCGTCTTCCTGGTTCTGCACCTTTTGTAAATCAATGTTGCCTTGAGTCTGAAATGTATGGGAGAGCCTATTCTCAGGCTCTGACCTTTAAGGATATTCACACTTTTCTGTTCATATAAAGATAACAAGTTGCAGAATAGAAACTAACATTTGTTTTGTTGGAGGTTTACAGGGAAACCATAATCTGACCCATGTGGACAGCTGCAAAAAGCAAAGGATTCCAATAACAAAGAATTCCTACACCAAGAAGTTTGCAACAAGCAAGCACACTCCCTCCCCTTTTTAGTTGAAAAAGAGCCTGAATTCTGACTTGGGGAAGATGGGTTTCCAGTACATCAGTCTGCCAACTTGGTCTACCAGCTTTCCAGATAAAGTCACTATTCCTTGCCCCAACACCTTGTCTCCTGATTCATTGGCCTGTCACGTGGGAAACTAGAAGGAGATCTTAGGCTGGGACAAATACCTCCTCCCTGACAGAACATGGGGAGGTGGCCCCTACACCTGCCGGTCAAAACAGGCCTCCCCTCTTTACTCTGCTGCAGTAACCCAGGGGCAGGGCCCCACCTTCCCTGAGACTGGGGTAGTCCATAATCCAGCCTGCTTTGCTCCAGGCCCCTTCACCTAAGAGCATCTTGGAGGAGGGGAATGTAGGCAGAACAGGAAGCAATGAGGATGAACATTTGTTGCTGGCAGCAGCAGCAATGATGGGTGTCTAAGAATGACACACTGAACAAAAGACAACATAACTGTCCAGAGGTAGTTTGTGACCAGAGGAAAGATGGAACCAGAACCTTGGGGGGTAGGGAGGAGCAGAAGTGTGGGGGTGGGTTAGCTCCTTGTTATTAGTGCCCCATGTGAGGGAAGGGGAAACTGAGGCTGAAAGTGGAAACAGATGGGGAGTGGCTCAAGTCCACCTTGAGTGGCTGCCACAGGGAACCCAGGCCCCTGGGCCTCCCCTGGATAAAGGTAACTGCCATCTCCATCACTGCAGTAGATTCCACGGTGAGGGCAAGGTGGGATAGAGCCTGCTTAGAGAGGGTAGGAGGTTAGACCCTCCTGCCTTCCTTCCTGTGCCCTCAAGGGGGCTGCCCAACCTAGTGCAGGGATGAGGCAAGCTGGGGAGAAAAATGGATGTGAGTGACACATGCTGCTGCTGGTACAGTGGGAGTGGGCCGTGTCAGAAGCGATGGGTCTTGGGCTCATTTTAAGGCCAGGGGAGCCCTCCCAGGCCCCTTAATGGGAAGCCAGAGGGAAGAGTCAGGAATCAAAAGGGGCCCCCAGACCAAGAGCCCAGCCAGCAGTGTCCCTACCACTGAAGGAGTGGGGACACAGCAGCTCATGGAGGAGCGAAGTGGGAAGTCAGCTCTGTCCAGGGGACAGGTGTGGCGCATGGGTGAGAGGGGTCGCTGGGAACTGAAATCAAAGGAAAACTGCTTCCCACTGGCCCAGGGACCCTGCAGCAGCTGGTGTGGGTGTAGTGTGGCAGTGAGGACTCAGGTAGCTGGCAGTGATGCGTGGACCTGGGGGAAGGGGTGGGCGGCAGTGGGAGGGAGCAAAGCTGTGCAGTCCACCAAGAAAACTCGTCCTTGGCGAGGGAGCCGGTGGCAGAGTGGCGCGGTCACTACTGCTCCTCTGAGGACTCCTACCTGATGCTCGCTTCTTCCTCCTTCTCCAGTGTTTGGGGTCGGCCCCTTGGTTCCTCCCTGGAGCTGTGGTGGTTTTCTGGATCTTGGCAGCAGCCTTGTTTTTGCTGCCCTTTGGTGGCCCCAAGATCTCTTAGGTGTTGGCATTTTGCCGGGCTCCTTTTGACTCCCTACCAGCACTGCCAGGACTCCACTTGAGGCCCTTGGCTCGCTCCTCAGGGCCATCCTTTTCCTGCTTGGAAGCCAAGGGCTGGCTGGACTTCAAGCTCCACTCGCTCCTCCTCCCTCATCTGTGGAGCAACTGGAGAAGCCACAGCTGGGATGCGCCAGCTTGGCCACCCGGCCTGCGGTGCACTCACCGGGCTGCAGGGGGGCCAGGGTGCTGGGTGGTGAGGACCCGCCTGGCTTTGCCACCACCGCTGATGGTAGCAAATGTGGATACCTTCTTGGAGCCGCGCCAGGGCCAGAAATGCCTGGACTCGGACTCGGGAGTCCCATTTACAGGTCAGCTTTTCACTATTAAAAACAATTCAGAAAAACCCTTGTAGACAGATGAATTAATCTATGCAGGCTGCCATAACAGAATACCACAGGATTGGTAACTTAAACAACAGAATTTTACTTTTTCACAATCCTGAAGCCTTGAAATCCAAGATCAAGGTGCTGGCAGGGTTGGTTTCTTGTGAGAGCTCTCTTCCTGGCTTGCAGACAGATGCCTTTCTCCTTGTGCCCTCAGTGGCCTTTCTTCTGAGAACACTTTGAGAGAGAGCTCTGGGTTCCCTTCCTCTTCTTAGGAAGATGTCAGCCTCATTGGATTAAGGCCCCAACCGTATGACGTCATTTAGCCTTATTACTTCCTTAAAAGCCCTGCCTCCAAATACAGTCACATTGGGAGTTCGGGGGTTAGGGCTTCAACACATCAATGAGGGGGGGAATTCACTCCATAACAACAAACATTTGTACAAGTGTGTATTTTTGTAAGCTGTAAACTTAATACACACGTGTATATACATATGTATGTAAATACATGTATGTGTATATATGTATAGTATATCTATGTATCTACACAGAACGTACACAATTTTAGAATAACACTGAAAATCTTATCATGCAAGCCATTTTATATCCTGCATTTCTCAATTATTTTGTCATGAGTCTTTTGTAGCAGTATTCAATATTCTGTAAAAAATGATTTTAGCTGTTGTATAAAATTTTAGAGGGTTTGTAAACATTCTGGCTTTTGGGGTTGTAAGATCTTTTTCCTAGTTTCTTTTAACATGAAAGTGGGCTTTTTTTTTAAACCTTAAAATAATAAGGAAATTTATTGATACATACTACTTGAAGTCTCCAGGCAGAGTGGGCTTCAAGGTGGCTTGTAATCCTCTTCACTGACCGTGATGCTCTTGGTTCTGTCCTCTGTGTGTTGACTTCATCCCTGGACTAGTAGCTAGATGGTTGCAGACACTCTGGGTCTCCTATCCATGTAGGCTAATGACCAGAGAAAGGAGGTGACCACATTTTTCTGTCTCCCTTCTGAGGGCAAGACTACATTTCACAAGGAATCTCTGGAGAGTTTTTTTTTCTGAAAATTTCCCCCCCCCTTTTCAGTTTTATTAGGTAGAAATATTACAGTTTGTCTGCACATACACGCTACACTGCATATAAATACATAAATACAATATACTGCATATATTTTTAGTTTACATATATGTACTGATCATTGTTTCTAAGAACAGATTAGACCTTTAGCTTTTTAAGCTTACATAATTATCAAAAAAAAATAAAGCCACTACAGACAAGAATCAACAGAATGTGGCAATCCAATCATAAAGGACAGTCACATGTTCTTATACATATTCAAGAAATCAATCATCACTTATAAATGATAAGTAGTTCATTTGTGTCCTTATTATTATTGTTATTATTTTTAGGTTCCTCATATAAATGATGTCATATGGCATTTTTCTTTCTCATTCTGGCCGGAAGTGGGCTCTTATTGAAAGTAAATTTCTAGCCATCTGTTTCTTTTAAACCCATCCTTAGAAATTAATGACTCACTCACAGGACAGGATAATTTTGAATACTTTTTGTATACATTGCCAAATTTTTTACTCTTAGAAGTATATAAACTTACATGTCTATCAACTATATATCATCAGTGAGATTAAATATTTCATATGCCTTAGACATTTGCATTTTTTCTTTTTGCATTTATCTAATCAGTTCTCCTTTGAGATATGTATTTTCCTGTTGGTTATGTTTCCATTTTACTTACTAGACATTTTTTCTAAGTTTTTTTCTCTTCACTTTAATCAGGTTTATTGACATCATTAAGTGGTGCTGGGAAAGTGATTTTATTATTAGGGAGGAAAACAGAGCTTTCCTTCATAATTTACATATAAATATTTGTATGAAGCAAAATGTATAATATAAAATGATTAAAACTAGAAAAGGTGTATGTGTATATTTGTCAGAGCTTGGGTTAACTAGAAAATCCATGCTTGTTAAATCTACTATGAGATTGCTGAGCAAAAAATGGTCTAAGGGCTTCGGTTTCCACACAATTATAGGTACACTCATTTCCACATTTAAGGAAGACCTATCATGTTTAGGCTTTGTGTCCTAGAGAATAAAAACATGAATAACACAAAAACTTTACCTAATATGTTAGACCATGTAGGTGAAGAAAAATAACTGACAGGAGTGTCCCTGTGCACAGCAGCTTGATGTCTTTCATAGTCAGAATGTAGGCTTCCAGGCCGTATGTTCAGGAGCTAGTGAAACAGCACGGCCATAAAGGACCAAAGCCAATGGGGCTGTTCCAGAAACCTGTTTAGAAAAGTTCCTACCCAGGCAGCTTTGGTATAGTAGCTGCATGCCTCACTAATGACCCATGAAATCATGGACCTTCACAAAGTAAAGAGTTTCTCAACAGTATCTAGACTAGACTGACTCATTCAACTCCTGTAGCTAAAAGCAGGATTGGAGGTAGTATAACGTTATCTAAGTGTGAATTAAGACCTTCTTGAAATGTAGCTCTGATTTCTCACTGAAATTCTGGAGAACACCCCAGGAGAAGGACACATTCATATCTGAGTCTGTTTTATCTACAAACTAAGAGAACTCGTTGGCATGATACAATCATACAAAGAATTGCATTCTGAAAGAGACATAAAACTGCGGGCAAGACCGTGAAACTAGCTCTTTGCTGCGCTGCTGTTTCCCATCCCCTCAATCTGACCCACTCGGCACAAGGCCTGAAATGTGCAACCCTTTCCTCATGAAATGTCCAAGCAACCAAGATGCTGTGTGCACATGCAACTCACTTAGTCACCATCTCCCTTGGAGGAAAAACAAAATGACTGTAAGTACATTTCTTACTGCTTCCCTCTGTCTGTCATTCCTTTACTCCTTTCCTTCCTTTTTTCTCTTCTTTGACTCTTAACGCACTCACACCTCTTTGGTACCACGTGCCATCTGTGTGTCTTCTTTGGAAAAATGTCTGTTCAGATCCTCTGCCCATTTTTTAATCAGGTTGTTTTTGTTTTGATATTGAGTTGTATGAATTCTTTGTATATTTTGAGTATTACTCTTTATTAGATACATTGTTTGCAAATATCTTCTCCCATTCAGTGGGT